GCGAATTAGTCTTCGCGCTTATGTCTCCGTGGATAAGGGCTTCGCGGATTTGTGGTGGAACCCATGGCATGTACTGAGGGAGCCATAGGAAAGTGTATTATACATACCCTCTTTCTGATATAAGAACATGTACCAGTTAGTGATCTATGTTCATATCCAGTCATGGGACCTGGGCAGGAGGGAACCATGGTAAAAAAGCAAGGTCTGAGAATCACTTAACTATTTGCGTTGACTCTTTTTGCCTTTTCTCTTATTCTGCCCAGAGCCAGGTAGATTGTTGTAAAGTTTACTAATCAACTCTTACATTTCCAATTCCTAATGAGGCAAGGGTGGAATTTACCATTTTTAAAGCAACCACATGCTGAGCTGACATTTCTGAGAGAAGGAGCTTGCCCCATGGTTCTAAAATCTTTTCAATCTCAGCTCCCAGGAATAAACAAATGCATTTTGTGTGCTAAGTTGTATCTGTCAGGGTTCCAAGTAACTCCCTCAACGAAAGAAGACTCTGAAGCTTGAAATTCCTCAAGAGTTCTATTTTATTAGAGATGTCATATGTAAAAGATGACTTCCAGGCCTGATAGTATCATGTAGCAATCATGATAATATGGGCTTAACATTTGTCCATATTGTAGCTCCCATTCACCCAGTTTGGACAGAACCTTTTGGATATCTTCCCAGTTTCTTTTTGTGAGCAGTTTGGTATCAAGATCAAACTAGGCCAACTGACTATTTATCCCTAGCACTACTGGATCCAGCCTAGTTTGATCATTCCTTCAATCTGAGAACACTCCATTTACCCTTATTCTCTGGGCCCATTGATTCTCAATATTGTCTACTTTAAGATACAGTATATGGTTTCAATTCCCTGAATTCCTCAGCCAGCATATCTTAAAGTTGCCAAGCTTGAGAAACAGAAAGTCTGGTCTGGACCAATCCTGTGGACTCAGAAATACATGGAAGTCTAGCAGCTTGTTTTATAAACAAGAGAAAAGAGAGAAATCCATCTGTTCAGGCAATCAGCCAAATTAGGGACAGTTGTTTTTTTTAAGCCCTCTGCTTGTGAGAAGCAGTCCAAGCAGCACAGCAAGCATCTTCAATGGAGACATCTCCATTGATCTGGGACCCAGGGCCACTCTGCTTGCTTTACGGCTATACTCAAATTTTGAATATAAAATGCATTGAATCTGCATTTTTGTATTGATGTATAATACAAAAGAATTCTCCTTATCCTAATTCAGAAGTGCATTTATAAATTAGAGAAGGCATGATAAATTTTCATTAAGAGTGACTACAGGTCTGAATTGAGTGTTTTTTAATCATGTTTCTTAGTGCAGAACGATTGCCAAGGTGCTTTTAATTAAAAATAAAGCAAGTGCAATGACTGCTTATATTCCTTTATAACTTTGCCATTGTATATTCTGCTTTCTACATAAATTAGAAATTTGGAGAAATAGAATCCAAATTAAGTATGTTTGTGGAACATGAGTTTGGGAGACATTTCTTAATGAAAGATAATCCACACAGAACATTTTTGTTTGTCACTGCTAAGAAATGCATTTATACTGTTGATACTATTACAAAGATGTGTACATATTCTTCCCTTTGCGATCTTCCCCTAAAATAATGATTTCTTCCTGTCAAGCAGCTTTATGCATTCTGTACATTATATCTGGTTGAGCAGAAAGACTACAGATCTTGACATCCAGATAGATAATTGTGTGATTTGCAATAATTCAGCAAGGATTTCTCATTCACAATTTTGTTTAATAGCAAAATAATTCTTGAGAGCCAAATTGTATTGCTGATATTTTTTTTAAAATAAAAGGATCATAAGAAAGTGGATTTAGGAAGGATTGCAAATTTTTGAGCTTAGAATTTTTAAATTCTAATATGCAATGGTATGTTCTTGTACAAATTAATAAAAATAAAACTATGCATGTTGCAATTCCAAATATTCTGTTTTCTGTCCAATTTCATGATGCAAGTATTCAAAAGTGTGCTGAAAAGAATTCTTCATTGTGAATGATTTTCACAATAATAATGCAGTTTGAATAGAATTCAAGCTGCTGGGATATTCCATTCTGCACCATGGTGGAAGTGAGCAGGGAAAATAATGACATGTTTCATGGCTGTTTCGAAAATCCCTTTCCAGCCCATGAACTCTACTAAAATGCATGCAGCCTTTGTACATTCTAAAGCATGCTGGATGACACAAACATTCTGAGTTTGGTTTTTATTTTAATTTAGAGTGCCATGCAGTTCAGATATTGTAATTAGACTTTTGCATCATCTGTGACATTATCAAAAGACAAGAATTAATGACAGTAATGTTAATCCATCCTTTCATTCAGCTTGTATCATAGCACCATTAAACCAACTGGTTTCGGTATACCATATTTTCCTTTTTCCTTCCCTTATCTTCTGCTATATTGATTTTCATGCAAATATAAAATATAGATGCTTATTTTCAATACAATATGCTGCACATTTCTTTTTTATCCAAGTTTCAGCTTACAAGAGCTAAGTCCCAGGTTAAATTTCCAAGTCCAATTTATTTATTGCATATGGAGCTCAGATTTTCTCCAATGAGCTGTAGGTTGCATTCATATTCTCCTACCTCCTTTCATTTACCCTTGAAACAATCTTGTGAAATTCATTAAGCTAAGGCAGCAAGTAGTGAAGTGTGTGTTCACGTGACGTGTTAATACACTTTATAATGCCTTGGTAAGGCCACACTTGGAATACTGCATTCAGTTTTGGTCACCACGATGTAGAAAAGATGTGGAGACTCTGGAAAGAGTGCAGAGAAGACAACAAAGATGATTAGGGGACTGGAGACTAAAACATATGAAGAATGGTTGCAGGAACTGGGTATGTCTAGTTTAATAGAATGGCTAGGGGAGACATGATAGTGGTGTTCCAATATCTCAGGGGTTGCCACAAAGAAGAGGGAGTCAAACTATCTTCCAAGGCACCTGAGGGTAGAACAAGAAGCAATGGGTGGAAACTAATCAAAGAGAGAAGCAACTTAGAACTGAGGAGAAATTTCCTGATAGTTAGAACAATTAATCAGTGGAACAGCTTGCCTCCAGAAGTTGTGAATGCCCCAACACTGGAAGTCTTTAAGAAGATGTTGGATAGCTATTTGTCTGGAACGGTATAGGGTTTCCTGCCTAGGCAGGGGGTTTGGACTAGAAGACCTCCAAGGTCCCTTCCAACTCTGCTATTATATTGTATAAGTAACAGCTGGCTCAAGGATGCCCAGTGAATTGTCTATAATTGATTATGAATAGTCATTTTAACCTTAATATAAGTATTTTAAACCAGGAATGGGAAATCTGTAATTCTCCAAGTGCTGTTCAACTACAGCTGCTTAGGAGCCCAACCTAGCTCAGTGTACTACAGTCCCCCTACCTAATTATATTAAGCTGCCTTCCCATAGTATAACCTCAAAAGATAAACAGATGAACACCTTCACTATATGTTCCCAAAGTGTGCATTTGCATGATCTCCACTTTTGATCATCTCCCTAAGTCTGCTCCTATCCTTACCAAAAGGGATGGGCATCCAATACATTTGGAGGCTGTAGAGGTTAGGCCAGACATATGCAGTAAATGTCCTTCAGTTATTGTTCTCAACTCTTGTTAACCTACACTAGCTTAGCAATTGAAGGGACTTGGTGGAATGCACTGTGCAAGAGCATTGCCTACAGCTATGAAGAATGAAACTAACAAAGTGGCAACCTAGCTGCCAGGAAGGTTGGCATCCATCAAGCGGGGAGGGGGGAGGAACATTTATATTCAAGGGTGGAAGGTCCAAGACATTATACCAATAACAACTTTTTTAGTTATTACAACTGAAAGCTCACAATATTTTTCCTTTCCCCAAAATGTATTCTTTTACAAAAAAAAAAACAAGCTGAAACCAGGACCCTGTTTCTTACTCTTTGGCTTGGTTCATAAAGTATATAACATAAAACCAAGGTTTTTTTTAAAAAAAATCCCTGGTTTGTTGAATAACCCATAATGACCCATTCATATATAATGCAAAAACAAAATTTTGGCTTCTCACATCATATACATTTAAACAAAACTCTCAAGCCTCAGATGGCTGAATGTTATACTGTTATACTTTAACAGCAACTGTGATTGTTCAGACTGCTTTTCTCTTTGTCCCTGTCTAAGCTCTTCACTGAAGGCATCACCAACAAGCTAATGGCTTGTTTCACAGATGAGAATATGAGAGATGCAGTCCTAGTGCGGGTCTATGGCAGGAAAACAGAGCTTATTGTGGACCGAGCCAATGAGCTGAGAAATTTCCAAGTCCTCCAGGACAACGGCTGTGCCCCCAACCTCTTCTGCACTTTTGAGAATGGATATTGCTATGAATTCATGTCAGGGAAAGCTCTGGGACCAGAACATATCCGGGAGCCAAGTATGTTCAGGTATGTGTACTTCCTTGCTCAAATTTATAAATAAAACTGATGGTGATTATTAATTGGAAAAGGCTTGTGCTCCCTACTTTTAGTTTGGCCCCATAGTGCTATTGTGGTGATATACTCAATCCCCAACTAAAAAAGTCTTAGAGATAATACAGAAAATAAGAAATGCTCAGGAGTCTCATAGCTTTTGTGTAACAATGTTTCATTGTCAGCCTTTTTTGCCTCCATGGCAGGATACAACCCCGCCAAAGTCCCCTTTCTCCCCTCTGTCCCCATCCCAGACATTTTCTGCTGTAAAAAAATGGAATAAATAAAAAGGGCTATAGCTGATGCATGTTTTGAAATTCAGTAGAGATGCTTAAACTTCATTTTCATTTAATGGGAAACACAATTGGGAAATTATTTAAATCATTTATTGATCTTCAAATTAGTTGCACACCGGACCACAGGGAGTATTTCTTTTGCATATTTTTTTCCTAAAGCGATTTTTCCTTAGATAGGTTGAACTATCCCAAGGGAGATTAATTTCCTTCGATAGGTCCATTATCCCAAGGGAGACTAATATAGGTTGGAGATTATGGATGTCATTTATATCAGATCTTTGTGGAGGTACTAGATTAAGGAAAGATGTTTTAAAAGTAAGGAAAAGAGAAAGCTACTTTCCCAAAATAATACTATGTGAGAATCCCAATACCTCATAATTTAGATCAATTACTGTGGTACTGTAGTTAGCACAATCACTAGCACTGATGATGTTTACCTAGTCTAGATAATGAAATGTCAGCAAGAAAACAAATAAGCTCAGAGAGCACTAAGGACCCCTCCTTTCAACCCTGAGCCACAATATTCTCCTGTATTGGTATGTAATTAGAAAATAATTAGCATTTAAAAAAAGTATTTTGTATAATGTTCTCTTGGATCAGAGATCCCTTATGCTAAATTTGGGAAATGTTCTGGTAATGGATACAGGGTATCCATCTATCCAGAGTATTAAATAAGACATGTTGTCATGCTAGATTTATCGGAACTGGGATAAAGAAAGTAGAGTACAATATTTGCTGATTTTTGTGGGCTCATTTCAGTTGTTGGAAAATGAACTAGAGATATATTTGTGTTTCTTTTTTTATATGAAAAATTAGGGAACATTTTGAAGACCAACTGCTTAAATAAACAAAAATAAATTAATTCAGATCTGGCTGGATTTTCCAAATTACAGTAGTACTGATGATGTTACCTAGTTTGGTAATGAAACATTGGCAAGAAAACAGCCAAGCTCAGAATCCCCAAATTATCTTTTGTATGCAGTTCTAATCCATTTGTTGTGGTTTGAATTTGTACAACTCAAAGTAACATAGAGGATGTTACTTCCTCCTGTTTTCCCTACAATAGCCCATTGTCTTGGACTAAGAGGAACTGGCCTAAAGTCAGCCAGCCAGCTTCCAGGGATAAGGGACAACTAAAGCTCCCAATCTCCCATGTCTTGTCCAGCACCTTAGCTTCTACACGAAACTGGCTCCCTCTTTAGCTTCATTAAAAGCAGTGTATTGCTCTTAAACTATTTGATCTTTGTGGTTTTAGGCTAGTAGCCCAGGAGATGGCCAAAATGCACAAGATTCACACCAATGGGAATCTTGCCAAGCCTTGTCTTTGGCACAGATTGTTCAAGTACCTTAATATTGTGAAAACGGAGTTTGCTAAAAAGGCATCAAATTCCAGGTAAATATTTTTTTTTAAAAAAATGTATATTTGGTAAATACAACTGTTAACAGTTTTGGTTATGGCATTGTAATTATTTTAAGCATATAGTGCAAAATACTGGGACAAGGAATGAAACAGGAAAGATAATTAATTTGTTCTCATTTAAAACAACTCCACCCCCACAAATGATAAAAGTTATGGCTGGATCCTAGACAAGGTTTTTGAACAAAATTGGAAGGATATACATGAATTTGTTGAATGAATTTGTTTGATGATGTTTGTCCATCATGTTCAAAGAGGACCTTGACATCTAACAGGTTGTGGACTGTCCACAATGTGTCCGCAGATGGCTGTTAAGGCTTATACAGCACAAAATGTTCTGCCGCATGTCGGGCAGACGTGTGGGCACCATTGTTGCAGCATTTGCTGAGGATACCTATACATGATTTATCAGATTTGACTGTCTTCCATAACCTGATGCCCTCCAGATGTGTTATAGTCCAACATACATAGAAAGCCAGGAGACAGAACAGCTGGGTTTTAATAGTGAATAATGTAGAAATATCAGACCGCAAAGAGTACAGGTCAGTGTCTTTTATGTTGCAGGAAAATTGACTATTACAAATTTTACATGCTTTAGAGTAAAAAGTTATATAGTGTAGAATTTCCTCTAGAATCATATTGTGCAATAAATAACAACAGCACACATTCTGAAATAGATATATTTTTCTCTCTGAAGAAAACACCTATTCACCTTCTGTGCATTTAAAGCACATAGGCTACTATAGGGGACAATCCACAATATGATCCATCTTTTTGCAAAGTTCTTGCAGCAAACTGTATTCAGGCACATTTATTTCAGATATCCCAAGAGTTTCACATCTGTGTATAAGTGGTACTGATTTCTAGAAGGATGCTTGTAATTCTCCTGTCCAGTTTCACTTCTACTTAGTCACTTGCACAGATGGGATGAAAGGGCAAGAAGTCTGAGCACGGTATAGTAAGGATTGTGTTTGCTTTGCCATTCACTAAATGCCTTCAAAAGAAAGTAGGCCTAATTCATCCATGAAGATTTGTTGTAAAACAATTGCCATATTGGTATAAATAATTTTTAACTATGGGTGAATACTAGGATCAGAAGTGGTTTAAGAGAAACTAGGAGCAGAATTATTAGTGGTGAATAATTTTAATTGAGGAAAATTTACTGTTTTAAATATTTATTTGGTAAATTCATATACATTTGATAGAGAATTAATTACTATTTCCTAATTGAAGCCAGCAGCTAGAAAAAGTGTGAGCCTTGTCTCACAAATCTTACTTTAAAAAAAAAAAGCAATAAGAAAGGTTTTACTGTCTATCAGAGGGCATGGCATCACTTTGGTCTTCCTTCTCAAGCTTCCTTCAGGAAATGCAGATTCCTAGCCTAGAGGTATTAGAAGAAGAGATTCATTGGATGAAGGAACATCTCTCCCAGCTTCAGTCTCCAATCGTCTTCTGCCACAATGATCTTTTGAGCAAGAACATCATCTACAACAAAGCCGAAGGTTTGTTAGGCATAATACCTGCAAACCAAGCATTGGTAATTTTAGTCCATCATTCAAGATAAAAATGACAGTTGTACATGATTTTTCTTTTTCTTTTAGAGGAAACCCCTCTATAAAAAAACTCACTTGCAATGATTTCTGGCTTTACTTTTTCAGGTCATGTCCGGTTCATAGATTATGAATATACTGGCTACAATTATCAAGCATACGACATTGGGAATCATTTTAATGAATTTGCAGGTGAGTGGATATCCTCCCCCCCCCGCCACACCGCCGCCCGCATTTCCTGCATTTGTAGAAATGCAGGAAACGCATTGTTATATCTAAAATTGAAATACATTACATGTATTTTCTCCAATAGTTTTCTCCAATAGTAACAGCAGCAACTCATTACTCGCTGCTCTTTAACCTGCTGCCGAGTATCTGCAGATCACTCACTGCTGACTTATTGGGCTCCAAGATGTGAGAGTTGTTTCTGGGCTACTAGTTCCCTTGTTGCTTGCCAATAGATTCAAAGAATGGAAGGCAAAGCTGGAATAATGCTAATTCTTACATTTTGGAAAGATTGCTTTAAATTACAAACTGCTGAGAAACAAGAATATCCATAGTAATAAATGACTTAGAGAGTCTATTGGAATTGGGCAGCCAATACATATATATATATTCTGATTTTAAGGATGGATTTTAGAAACCAACTTCTTTTCAAGAAACTACCTGTAATTATCCAGTCTGTATTAATTTCTGATGAATGGTGTTATTTTTAATACAGGAAATCACTGTATTAGGTTTGCTACCAGCTCAACATGTACAGTAACTTATCTATTCTGTAAGGATCATGAAATCTAAGCTGGGTCAAACTGGAAGATTTCAGAAGGAAAATGCAAAAGTTGTTAGAAAAGGTTGATGCAGTAGAACTTCTTCAGAACAAGTTCTTGGTTGCATGGCTATTTGCTTCTGCTACACTATGCACTAGAACAGAACTGACATGATTTCAAAAGAGAAGCAGATTTGTTCCATGTGATAGATAATCTACGGTATATTGAGGAAACAGGACTTCCCTTGATTTTGCTGAATGACTTTTAACAAACCTTCTAGGATATGTAGAAGCTGGGGGCACTATTTGCACTGATTCCAGCAGTATTTGATTAAATGTTTCCAGAACATGATGTTGAATATTGCTCAGCTTCACAGCTCCCCTCGGGACCTTATCTTGTCCTTTAAAAAACACAAATATCTGCATAATGCCAGCGGAGAAGGTAATTCAAAGCTGTATCTTATAATTAAGCTTTGGTTGGACAATTCAAAATTGTCCTTTCAAGGGAGATGTCTCAAACCTGTACATGAAACTAGTGAGAAACTGGATGTGGGCCAAAAGAAGCCTCAAACCAGTCAAATCTTCTTCAGGTGTTGCTTTTGACACCATATACTGAGGTACTGGCACTTTGCTGCCAATCCCTGTTCCCTGTGGAGATGATTTTGAAAAGGGTTTGGAAAATTCTGGTGGTGTAAGAGTGTAACAGATGGATTATTGTCTTGTGGATATTTTAGAAGCTATTTATTACCAGGCTTAGAACAGCTATTCCCAATGCTTACTAAGTTCAGTTCAAGGTTGCTCTTTTAAGATCTATAAATGGTTTGGGCCAGAATAATTCAAAGTCTGCTTCCTCCCTTGTGAGACCACTTATAATCTATAACATTCGTCAAGAGTCCTGAAAGAGAGGCTAGGCTGGCGGATGTGGTATACAGGATGTTTTCCACAGCACTGTAATGTTTGGAGCATTATTCCAAGAGTAATCAGGATGGGTCCATCCTTATTTACTTTTATAGTCCAATAAAGAAGTATTGTTTGGTTAGACCTTTGATGTCCTCTGCTTGATGTGAAGCCCAACAAAAGGAAGAAAAGCAATGGGAAGAAAGGACTGAACTGTGGTTACATTGACTCAAAGCTTTTCCTAGTTTGGGTCTTTTATTCATTCCTTGAATAAACACCCATATTCATTCTTTGTAGCAAGCTGCAATATGAAACAACAGCTTATCCATTAGACTTCTTCTCTCAGCTTTTAATTATTCACATTCTCAGCCTCGTCTCCTCTTAAATCTCTCTCTCCTTGGTTCCACCAGTCAAATTCCTTCGGTTTGTTGAAATAACGACAGAAACAGTAAGAGAAGTACTTCCTTCTACAAACTTATTTTTCTTTCTTCTGTGGTAATCTTATCGCCTGCAATTTCTTATCAATATGCAACAATAGTACAGTAATGCAATGTATACAAATCTTAAAATCAATCCAAACTTCCCAAGTGTCTGGCTAAATTTAAGCCCATGTATTTACTGGATTCGGTTTAACCCACTTCCATCCAGTCTGACATCGACTGCACCAAGTCCTCTTGCCTTCTCTGCTCCCAGGGCTCAATGAAGTCAATTACAGCTTATATCCATGCAAGGAAGTCCAGTTGCAATGGCTGAGGTACTACCTGCAATCTTACAAGAAACTAAGTCCAGAGGACCAGGGAGAAGGAAATAAAAGCAGAGGAGAGAGTGGAGCAGTGTCTGAAGAAGAACTGGAGAGTCTCTACATGCAAGTGAACCAGTTTGCTTTGGTGAGTGTTTGCAAAATGATCAAAGGGTGGATAAAATAAGAGAGACTATTGCATGCTCTGAAAACTGAGGCTACCCAAGTCGCATTAATCCAATGGCCATTTTTATATTTATAGTAATTTATTAATTAAAAAGAAGGCCATGGCACCATTCTAATTGTTTGTTTTCTAATCTCTCTTCATTCCTTCATCTATTAGCTATTCCTATCTATAGATCAACCTGATGTCCTCTAGATGTTTTGGACAACAGCTGTCATATTCCACAGCCAATGATTATTGGCAATTGAAATTCATTTATTTGGAAAGGCACTCAGTTAGAAGAGGGAGTTCTATAACTCCCTGTAGCCTAATCCCAAGCCAACAAATTTGTTTGCCCAAGAGTGGAAACTAGTACTGTAAAAGTCAGCTTCTACTTGTATCGAGCTGTGTATGGTTCTTATTCCTGCAGTCCTAGGGGGCAATCTAATTTGAATGTTTGCAACTGTTACATACTGACAGCCAGTATGATAGGTTCCACCAAGGTCCTCCAATCTGGCGGGAAAATACTGAAAGGTGATTGGCCGAGCCATTTGGCAGCTCCCTATAAAAGGGCTAGCTGTCAAACGGAGCGGTGCTTGATTGTACATAGTTATTCCAATAAAGAGCTGTTGTTTGTCACTAAAGCCTGACTCTGCCTCATCCATTCACCCGACCTAACACTGGTGATGAGGATGGAATTGGAAGGCAACTAGGCACAAAAAGAGCTGACATAATCTAGTACATGACCATGTAGCTTCAACAAGTCATTATTCCCTGTTTAATTTAGATCCGTGTAAGATTTTGAAGAACATCAAAGCCACATAGCTATAAATTTAGGTGGACCCAGTTCAGATATTTTTGTGCATTCTGTGACCCGACAATTGCGCAATAGACATATGCACGCTGACAAAATAGCGCCAATTAAAATGCGACGTCAAAATCGCGATGACAAATTTGCGACGACAAAAGCACGATGACAAGCACAATAAAATCGAAAAATTGTTAGGGTTAGGGTTTTGTCGTGATTTTGTCATCATGCATTTGTCGTTGTGCTATTGTCAAAAATCAATTAGCGATTTTGACGGTGCTCATTTGTCCATTGCGGTTTTGTCGGTGCGCATTTGTCCGTCGTGGTTTTGGTGGTGAACCTGTTCATTCTGCTGTTGTTTTTAGCTTGTTCCACTATCACGGTTCTATGTATTCCCAAATTTCCCAAATACTTACTACTGTTTTGCCTTTCTGTGCTGGGTTTTTTTCCTTTCTTACTCCCTCCCACCCTCCCTTCCAACCTGTAAGTAACTGTCTCTGCAGGTAACAAATGCAATGAGAACTCTTTGGGTGTGTCCAAGTGCATACTTTCTTTCACATAGAGTTAAGCTGTTACATGTTAACATGTCCACTCACACTTCTCAAAGGGATCTTTCTGATATTGTTGTCTTTTCTAAGGCTTCCCATTTTCTGTGGGCTTGCTGGGGCCTGATCCAAGCCCAATTCTCTACAATAGACTTTGATTTTGCCAGGTGAGTCATTTCTAGTTGCACTGACAGGATACAAACAAGATGCTAGTGGTCTGCTTCTTTGTCTGCCGGGCATGGGGGAGGGGAGATGCCAATGACAATCAGTCTGCTATGTTGGTTCAGAGTCCTGATCATCAGCATAAAATGATATGGTTACAGTCTTATATGACTGTAACCATATCATTTTACGCTGATGATCAGGACTCTGAACCAATAGAGCAGACTGAGAGCACTTCTGTGAGATTTACTTATATAAAAGTAATGTGAAAACCTTGAAATGCTTTTAAGTCTTGATTAGCCTGTTTACCTTATCCCTCTAGCAACAGAAGTGGGAGCTTCCGTGTTTTCAGCTTGGTTAGAGTTTAATAAGCTCTCATTCTAGAAACACATTTAGAGTTAATGACCTGTCAGGTCCTATGCCATCCAAAAATTTGTCTTTTTTCATGAGTTTTAAGGCAATGATTGAAATATTTTGAAGCTTAATGACTTTTTGATTTTCAAAGGTGGACTAGAGAAACTTATACTATATTGTGGTAAGACACCTAAAGTCTCAATGCATTATAAGAAAAAGTGAACTAACAAATAACTTTTTGGAAATATTGGTGAAGTATCAGTTTTAATACAAGCTCTTGATTCTTCCCTTGATGTTATTCACCCTTCTGCCCCAGATATCTCCTAAATATGAGCTTCATATTATAATCCTTACTATAGTTGATTAAATATAGATAAAATGAAGAGAACGATAAAACAAAACCAAATGTATAAATGAATAAGCTACCTTGCTTTCTTTCCCATGGTCCTCAGTTGCCTTGTGATCTTGCTCATTTTAAATTTCCTGCAATTTTTGCAAGTTTACATATACATTCCCAATCACCAATATTTGTCATCATTTCCAAATAATCTTGCATGGGATTGGTATTTTATGTACTTTCTCAGCCAAGACAATTACTCCTAGGTAAAAGTGATCATAGGATGTGGACTTTGTCTTTTTTCTTATTACTGTAGTTAGTTGATAATGCACTTAAACCCACCCTGAAATCAAAGTGGGGTAAAAATATTTGAGGTAAGCATTCAAAGAATGTCTATGGAGATTCTCAATCCCCCAGGCCATGATTGTTCCCAAGATGTTTTTGAAAAGGCAACTGGACTGTCTTGCTTTTTTCCTTGAAAACATTTCTCATCCAAGAAGCTTCTTGGATGAGAAGTGAAACATTTTAAAGTAAAAAAACAAGAGAGTTCAGTTGCCCTTTGAAAAGCACAGTTGGGACAACATTTGAAGACATTCACTTTTGATGAAAAGTCTAGACTTCAAAGAAAAGGTCAAAAATTGAGATAAATTCATATTAATACTTTAAGGGCATACCAATTCACTGGCTGTGCTGCTCCAGTTTCATATTTGAGCAGCATAGTTGATGGTTTTTATTATATGTATTAATTAGAAAATACTTCCTAGAATTGTTAGGCACTTGGTTATCTGAGAATTGGGGCATTTGTGATTATTCTAGAAAACTTTTAATGCAAGAGAAATGCTTCATGTAATGAGAAATTTAGAGGTAACCACATGTAGATTTTATGATAAATTTAAGAATCAAGAAGGGAACTTAAATGACACACGGATTTAGACTAATTTTGACCAAAATTCCAGATTAGGTTGTCAGATGCATTAGCAACAAGTTGGGTATGGAAAGGAGTCATTTGTATATAACCTGCCTTTCTCTATTTTTAATTGTTCCTATAATTTTATACTTTTGGCTGAGAGTAACTAGATGGGTCAGGTTCTCAAAGGTGTTTTTTCAAAAGGCAACCGGAGTTGTTTTTCCATGAAAACATTTCGCTTCTCATCCAAGAAGCTTCTGAATTCCAGAGATATTTAAATGGTTCAAGGTCACCTAAAATTGCCATATCTTAGTCCGAATCTCATCCCTGATTTCAAGTCCTAGCTTAATATTTTCATTTTGACACCTTATTATTGTTGATGATATTTTTACAATTGCATGTAAAATCATTGCATGATGAGCATCATATGTGAATTATCAAAATAAGCATGTTTATAAAAAAATGTAAGAATGCATATAAATGCATAAGTATCGGTGTAAGAATTCAGTGCTTAAGTGCTGTAAGATTCATGTGAGAAAACGGACACTGAATAGAAAGGACATCTGCATATTTTGGGGCATAATTTTCCATTCATAGAAACCAAAGAGCACCACATACTACAAAATTAATGTGTACAAAATGTTCCTAATATTATACATAACAAATGTTTATCTTTGTATTGCTGTGTAGGTACGCAGACATAAGATTTAAGCAGTACTTTAAAACAAAACCTGTGGTGACTTCCCTTCAAATGTCCAAGTGAGGTTGCAGTCCAAAGAGTCTTCTGGTTCTCAAGATTCCACTCTTATTTTCTCTGGTGCAGAGCACCTGCCACCCTCTCCTCCTGCAGTGCTGAGTGGTCAGACATCGTGAAATAGGGCTGGGAAAGAAAAGCACACCTTCCACAAAGCCCCAAAATTCAACAAAGCCCCTGAACTTGGCTGTCGCATGTTGGTTTCAGAAGGTGATGTTATGACATGGCTGCTGGCAAGAGTTTCTGGGGCATAAGCAGGAAAGATTCAAGAGTTTAATATGTGGGTGGCCAATAGGGGAGAAGGTTTGCTTAGAGATTTACATAGCCTTGAAGGTTATTGCTGGATGACACTTTTGTTCCTTGGCCAGAAGAAAGAAAACTAGCAAGAGTTTTGTTTTTGTTTTTCAAGAACATGAGATTGTGGTCTTTTGGTTTGTGAGAATGGAGGAGAAACAATTGCTTCTCTTTACAACACTGAAAGAATCAATTCTGAAATGTGCTCCACTTCCTACATTTATGGGTGGAGAGAAATGATTAAGACCCTGAAGGTGGAATAAATATTCCCACACACATCAGTTTTAAAATATGGAACATTTAGGCTCAGGGAAAGTCCCAGCTCTTAAAGAGCTATTACAACTTTGGTCAAGCTTTGAGCTAATGGCCTCCCTGAACTATTAACTGGCAACAGAGAGCTCTGTACTGAAAATTGTATTACTCGTTGTGGGCAATTTCAACACCTATATTCTGAAAGTCAAACAATGTAGGCAACCTCAGATTATGTGTGCATATCATTCACAGTGCCACTTTGAAGAGAGCAGATGTTACTACCTAAAAACCTAATGTGATGAAAGCACAAAAGACAGAGTACTTTTTGTAAAGCATAGATGTACCAAATTTATGCAATACTCTATTATTGTAATGGCCATATGTGAAAGAGGTTTACCCATCCTCTCCCCACCACAAAATTGCATCCTGTTTCAAATACTACAAAGATGATTGCATTTCCATCAATGTGTTAATTTGCCCAGAGAGTCTTCTGCAATATTACATTGTGCCGTTCAGTATTTTGAGAAGGTGAATTCCATTAAACTAAACATGTTAATAACACAAATATCTAAGTAGGAAAGTGTAATTCATGTTGATGTAGCAGAGAAAAAAAGAAAGCACGCCACTAAAACCTGTTAACAAGGTTTTTACCCAAGTTTACTACCCGATTACCAATTTAGTGCAGGTTTTTGCCACCTGGACACATCCAGCAGATTCAGATAGTAACTCTGGAATGTGAAGACTTGTTTTATCTAAAGATGGCTAAGTTGAAGCTATTTTGGTCATACAGCAAAGAGGAAAAACCTTATGACTGCATTGGTATAAACTATGACATAGACAGTCTGGTCTCCTTCAGCCAATCCTGTTATTTCCCAACTTTACCTTGTATATTAATACATTTTATATCCTTTATATCCAGATTGTGGAACAGGAAACTAGAACCAACCTAAATATGTTTTATGAGTTGCAAAGAGCTCATACTGTTATGGTGCTTTATCTTCAAGAAGATCATTTGAGTTCCTTTGGTTAAAGGGCCATGTTTATACATAACTCATGGGTTCTCCAGTCAGAAGCAGGTTGGCATTTCTGCATTACCCTATGACTGGATAAAACTGAAGTGTGAAGGCATAATGTGAATGAAACTGTTGGTATCAGTCCTTGGGTCTCTATCTGAGGCACTGTAATCAATATAAAACATGTCATTTTATACTTTGAATTTTCTTTTATCTACATTTTCTATCAGATGGGTTCTTATTTTATTCAGCAAGCAATTACTAGAATTAAAAACAGATGACCTCTCAGTTCCTAAGATGACTCTTCAGCTTAGTTATGAACTTAAATGATCAAATGTTCACTGAATTTGTACTTTGGAGCAAAGATGGAAACAATAAGCCTCCTGCAGGCTTGTAATTGCAATGCTATTATAATTAATTTCCTAGAATCTGATTTCCTGTAGTTTCCTCATAGTAGGATAGCTGTTGCAGAATTGCTGTCAAGAGAGGGCATTTAGTATCCTTAGGAAAGGGGACAGTAAAGCCAGTATTTGCCAGATGCTTTGTGTTTACTCCCACAAGCTGCAGCCCATGTTCCTGGTGGTGACATATTATGGAATTGTAGTCCAAAATATCCAGTCAACAGAAGACTGCCTTATTCCTATCTTAGACATTTAGGTGCTTAGATAGTATTTACTTCCTTTCCCCTTTGTAGAAATGCTTTGCTTTTTTAAAATTTATTTTAGCCTTTGAACAGTTGGATAAAAACAGTTGTATCTTTACATTCTCTGCATTCCAGACATTAACCCTGATTCATTATGTATCTCTCTACATTTTCAGCCTTGCTGTATTGCCTTCCCACCCCACAAAAAAACATTCCATTCAATCACTATCTTGGTCTTCCCCACTTTCTCAACCCTTTCACCCTTCATGTTTATTGTGTGTGTATGTGTGTGAGAGAGTTGATCCTTTATTCATTCTCTGAAGATGTGATGCCATTTTCACATATTTTTTTGCAATATCTATTTACTTTTCTGTGCAATCCACATTCAATGAGCATCCTCTCATTCTACACTCTATCGGTGTTTGACTTCATATATATTAAGCACCCCATTCCTGGTGCATTCAACTCACTTTTATATTTTTCTTGACATACCCAATTCTCACATCTGTGTGACAAATTGAGCAGGATACAACCAACTTCTCTCACTTCTTTTGACAAGTATCCATTCTTCACAACAGACCATACTCACTATCTTTTCATTGTATTTGTACACCTTAACATTTCTTTTTCCAGTTTTGCATCTGTAGTGAAGAGCCTAGTAAGACCAGTTCACCTACCTGTGGTGTTTTAACTGTGTAACTGCAACATATAACTTGCAATCATTCACTCCATTTTCATTATTAAGAACAACTACCTTGGTCTTTCTTGCATTAATGTTCAGATAACTACCAGACCCCCAAATGGATAGTAGAAACCAGGACAGCTTTCTAATTATAGGGTATCCCTAAGCGTTATGAACACATCCTCCATACTGAGGTTAGGATATGAAACAATTGAAGTAATTCTTTGATGTTTCCTATTTATAAATGTAGCTATTGTTATTTGGTAAATAATAGTTACAGGAATGATCTTGTGAAAATTGGCCAAACCCTATGTTTTATGATAGGACCACACTAAACCTCACTGTGAATCTAACCAGCATGATTTGAAATCCTTCAAGTGAATTTGACTTCAACTCCCAATAAGCAGTATAGGCAATGCATTATGGGAGGTTTATACAGAGAGGTGTAATTTGTGAATGTAAATACAGATGAAGAAAAAACATATAAGATCTTGTCTATGGTCACTTCTTATGACAATCATTATTGATGAACAAAATTCATGAACTTCTGCCTTCTCAGTACTTCTGATCTCATGCTGTAATGGGACTGACATCTGTTTATATATAATCCTTCCAAATAATGGAGATGTTGGAGGATAAACTATATTAATTAGATGGATATAATGAGCAGGATCAGCAGAGTACAGCTGTGGAGAAAGGATCAAGAATGGCATAAATCATCTTGCTCAGAAAACAAAATGTGTGACTTCATTGTTATGCTTCTGCCCCTCTTAGAAAACACTTCCCCTTCCTTCTTCCCTTTCTTAATTGACGATAGGACTTCCTTGGTCACTTTTTTTGCAAGCCTTTTCCTTTAAAGGTGCCATAGTTTGCTTTGCCTGTTCTTACCCATGCCTTCTGACCCTCTCATTAAAAAGTCTGCTTTTCCCACTTGTTCCTTCCTTCCATCTCTCTTACAAGCAAGATGCTGAATTCTGAATGTTGTGCTCCAAAAGCACAACATACCAGTCAGGAGACACAAGAAGACATTACAACTTTCAGACCCATAAAGTTCCTACTGAGAATTTCCCCAGGGTAAAAAGAGCAGATCCTTCAGCCAAAGGTAAATTTCCTTCACTTTTGATGCAGCAAAAAGATAACCCTTCTTGTTTGGGCAAAAGTATTCTGACAGGCCTCCAGAGGGCATCAAAGAGTAATGAATTCATCCTTTCTTTTGAACCAGTAGCTGCAAAGGCCTGCTTATGAACCATTTTCCTTCTCTCCCCCTCCCCAAACTAAATAGCGGCTTTTGTACCCTAGGCAATTTTTGTGACATTGTAATGCCATGTTTTTCTTAAAGGGGCAGACTGTCATTGTTAGCAGCCTTATTCACTGATAAATGACCCCTGATAGTTTGGATAATGGGATGAGGTGGAGCTAGAAAAGTGAGTTAAATACTAGGGAAAGGGCTTCGTCGTGTGTGTATATTGGGGGGGGCGGGGAGATTAGCCTCAGATTGGAAAGTTTAAGAAGCCTGTAGTGTGCTGAACTTCAGGGTGAAATCACGTCAGGGTGAAGAACCTGTAATCCTCTACACACTATCTCCTTGATTCATTGGGAGGGCAGGAAAAAATCATAAACCCGTGCTATTTTTTGCCTTTCAAGTTTGTTAGGTTGGGTGATAAGTAAACCTTATGCCTCATATTTAGAAGCTTTCTGGATGGAGGGATTCAATTTCTGGAAGAAATTCTTAGAAGGGATGGTACAAAAAAATGTTAAACGCCAACAATTTCCCCCCAATCAATCTCAGAATGGCTCATAATTGTCCTGACTACAGTTCTTTTGGAATGGCCAGGCCAACCTCTGTGCCTTCTATCCAATCAAGAAGAGAGCACAGAAATTGGATCTTGAGCAGCAACATCTCCCTCTCTGCCTCTACCTTTTACTTTGCTGTCTTTGTTCTTAAGGAGGAAAAAAAGCAAATGAAAAATTTCTACATGTGTTATGATGCTTTCACAAGCAAGGGAGGTGGTGGAAGTGGAGAGTCATGGAATTGGTTCAACAGTGGGCAAAGATTTGGCCCATTTAACCCTGACTTCAAAATGGAAATGTTTTTATTTGAATTTCTGTGTAACCAATCTGCCCTTTTTCAGAAATAATGTACTATATATAGAAATTGGAGCCAGAGCATGGATTGCTGCAGCAGTATAAACAGTACCAAAGCCCCATGGACCAGTGTCATGAATTATATCATTCCCCATCTTCTGAGCAAATTGGAGGCTTAAGCTGTCTTTGACATCTCCACCCATTAGATCAGGATGGAACCTGCTGTCAGGATCTATGTTGCACTCTTTGCATAGCCTTTGCAATACTTTCAAATCAAGGATTAGCATTTTTCCAAGCTAGTGCTTCCTGAATATTTGTATGGAAGCTAAAATGGTTTTTAAATACTGAGTTGCTCCGAGCATTTTCGGCAAACTAATCTTCACAAGATCATATAACATGCATGCTATCCACTAGGGAGAATAAAAGGAATAACATAATAGGAAGTTTTAGGAAATAAGTGAACTTATTATACAGCAAGGATTTTTCAACCCTCCTCTTTACTTCAGAGGAATTCACAATCGTACTGCACTGTCATGTTCTCAGTGTTGACACATTAATATGCACAAATCTCTTTCATTATGTGATGTCATAGTGAGGTGAAAGCTTGAGAGAATTTAGATCTACCTAAAAACAGTAAAACACATTTGTCTCCTGAAGATTAAAGTATATGGATTATGCCAGTATGAAATAGAAATCTCTGTAGATTATTGTACTCTTAAAACAATCACAGCATACCAGCAAACTGTTAAAAAGACCTGAAGAATCATTGGCCTTATCTCAGAGGCATCACAAACATCCCAACACACCATATTGAGGTGTATTGATGTATATCTCTACTCTTCATATAGTCAGAATCAAGCAATTTATGAAGTTTTACAGCTTGATTTTTGTACCATGAAAAATTGATTTCGTGGCCTGAATAGTTATCTGAAGACAAACAAGACTGCAGTCTGGGTGACATTGTATATGTGGTATTGTGTATTTGAAAGAAATCTTAATTGTGTAGTTGTGTGGTGTAGTTACTGTTTGAAATATACAACTCCTTTGAGCTTTAGGGGTTTTCAGAACCATTGCTTTCTGTGGAGCTTGTTTGTCTCGAGAGCAAAACAATTGAGCAAACTGAGGTAACAGGGAAACTCCAACAAAGGTATCTTTAATATGGGCAGAGCTTTCCCAGTTCATGCACAGCCACCAAGTAATGAACTGGTTAGGCTAAACTTTCAAGGATTAGTCTACATCTCTTAGTTGGTTACCTCACAGTGGCTTGCTTTTTTTTTTAAAACAAGTGTAGATGCCAGCACATCTCTCTCTGTTTGTGGCACCACTAATTTTCTTATTAGCAATTTTCATGTACTCCGTTCCATGTACATAAACAATACAAGATTTTTCTGTATTATGATAGTTGCTGACAATACTGAATGAACTGTGTGTTCCTACAGGTGCACGTCAAATCGGTGGACTTTGTTCTTGAAAGACAAAAAGGAACCTTTTAAACACCAAATGTCTCTTTTTATCTATAAAGCCAATGTTAAAATTAAAAACTGGAGGGGAGATGTTTTGTTTCTGAGTAATCAACTATTCATATTATGCAGCTTATTGTCCTTGGTTAGTTCATTTGTTTAAATCAGTGGCTAAATTAGGCTGGGAGCTGTGCTTCAGCAGCAACGAAAGGATTCCAGATTCTCTATCCTTGCTGTCTTCTGCCCCAATACTTATTCTACACAAGTAGTAGTATTTCTTGTTATGTTTCACTGGCTTGATTTGGAAGAGGTAGAAAGAAGTAGCAGCTACTAACCTAATGGACACAATCATACATACTACATGTCTGGGCCAAAGATGAAGACAAATCCCCGTCTCCCTCAAGAGATTTTCCTGTATCATTCAACTGCTCAAGGTCATCATCTTTCAAAGCAGACAGAAAATAAGTCCATGGATCCGTACAGCATAGTGCTCCATAACACAGAGACATTCTCATTCCAAAGGCACTAATGATCAAGATGACACAGCCAACTATCTTTGTCATGTTAGTTTTTGAACCACTGCCAACATACATACTGTGTGGTTACTGAGGCTTATGACTGCTACAGCAACTCCTATCTTACATTGATGGATTGCAGTATCTGACTGGCAAAGCAAAGAAAGAGGGCCCCAAGCTGTCTGCTGTAGCAATGAAAGTATTGTAGATTCTGTGAGATGCACCTCTCTCATTTGAAGTAGCTTGGAACAAGGAATCTTGAAACAGCAGGACAAGGTGAAGTACTCCAGTCTTCTTTTCCAATTTCAATTGAAATTAATCACAAATGGCTTTCTAAAAGACCATTTGTTTAAAAAGAATTATTTTAATACTCAAAATATATGCATAGTCTCTGCCACTAAAGATCTAAAGATATAATCTAAGAATATCTTGATGAAAAAATTTCAGAAATATATATTTTCATCCCATAAATAATAGACTTGAGATTCCAAAGATGTTAAACACATTATTATGAACAAGGATGATATAGCATCATAATGCTGATGCAGGGAATGGTAAACATTAATGGCATTATCACTTGTAAATGACTATACTATGTACTTTCAAGGAAATAAGCCCCTTTAAGAACAGTGGAATTTACTACCTCGTAAACACATGGAAGCCTGTGATGTTAAGCTTCAATCTTACACAAACCTACCTGAAGTAAATCTTATTGAACTTCCTGGGAGTTTCTTCCAAGTAAACCTACATAATAACTACATCAATGTTTGCAGATAATTCAGGGGAAGTCTAGCATCATGTACTTTCTCTATTTTAAAGACTAATCATTACACCTCCATGGCCTTTAACTGTTGTTAAAGGGAACAGGCACAATGGATTAGGTGGCAAAATGAATTTTACAAAACTAGAATTAGCACAGATCTCTGTTCCAAAACATCTTTATTGTACCAAGAAAAAGAAAACCCTTTATAAACAAAGAGTGTTGAAATATACAGGTTAAGTTACTAGTCTTATTAACAAAATAAAGCTCTATCTATATGTACAGACTTTTTGAAACAAAACAAAAATAAAGCAGCAGCCAGTTGCTAGAGCACAGTGGAAAGGGATAGGATTATGAAAAACTGAAGGAATGGGAAACTATAGATCAAAGAAATTCATCTTTCTTGATGCTCTCCAGTTGCTAGACTATAACTCCATGATGCTTGCCCAAAATGCCCATTAAGATGTTGAAAGTGATGGGTGTTGTAATCTAAAACATCTAGAGGGCACAGGGATTTTTTTTTAAAAGGTGGAACAGGAACTAAGTGATCCACTCCTCTCTAGAAGATATAATTGCATTTTCCTCTTTTCAAAATTAGAATAAAGGGAAGTAAGTTAGAACTCCAGATTCTATCCGGATACACCTCAGGTGCACGGTCTTATAGTGACACTAAACTCTGTGATGACACTACACAGACTAAGATCAAATTTCAAAGTGACAACTATTCTATTGCAAGAAAAATCATGCTTTGCAAGCTCAGCATGAAACTTCTGTCAACTTCAGATTTGCATTACATTTTAGCAGACATGTGAAGGACCACACTCCTAAAGATGGTGAGATAAAAAACCAATATTCAGGGGTCTGTAAGGAATGAAATGGATGCATAAATCCTCTGTAAAATATAAGGAATGTATCTCATTCTTAATCACTTCCCAGTTATCAATATTACAAAAAATAGTGATCTTTTGCCATATCTATTTGTACTAGAGTACAAAAGAGATGCTAGTGGGCTTTTTGTAATATTAGACTAAGGGTGACTCCAAACTGTGTATGATATTATCAATCCTTACTTTTCTGCCAGAAATGATAAACAGGCTTGTAGTTTGCCATCTCTGCAAGCGCACATATTGTTATGGGGTTCATTCTGCAGTGGGCATGATACAATCATGTGGGCAATGCTAAATTTCTTCCATGATCTCATATCTGGTCTCAAATTGTGGAGATCAGTGGTTATATTAATAACTTGGTCACCCTAACACAAAAAGGAGACCTTGTCAAAAAATGAAGAATGACATGTTTACTTTAAGAACACCCAATTTAGTTTCTCAGTGATGTTACAATTTCATAGCAGAAAATAAAAGATTCCCATGCTGAGATTTAAATCCAATGAAAGCGTACAAAAATATTTAAAGGACTATCTAGGGGCAAAATATGTAAAAAAGTGTCTGCAAATGTATATAATTCATACATCAGAAACATAACTGTGCATGTGTATATCATGACTCTGTACATCCTATATGCCTCTCTCATCACTGTTCTTTCCATGTACTGAAGCTATCCACAGGTTAACCATTAACTAAGAACGCTTAGCTAATTTAAACCAGGGCAAGACTGCTGCTTTCACTAATGCCACTAAAGGATAAAGAGTAAGGAGGAGATGAAAGAAGCCACTCGAACACATTATACACTCAACCTGGATGATTTGAGCATGATAAGCAAACAAGTACTTATACTGAAAACTATGAGTGTTGAGTTCAATGTATGGAAAACATGAATTTACAAATATACTGAAGCCTACCAGAGGCTCAATAAACCAGAATGATGAAAGTGGACAAACCCCTTGAAAATTGCTGAATTATAACATCTTCTTCCTAATAAACTGTAACTCAGAACTAGAAGGACACAGGGTTCCTACCCTGTATTACAGCATCATTAGATTAATTCAATAAAAGAATTTTTATTTCCTTCACAGAAGATGGTTCAGAATAGTTTTTCTAAGGTGCCCTTCACATGGTGTCTGTATGTTGGATTATAATTCCCATTATGCACCTTTAGTGCTCTAGTGGGTGGGCATGAAAGAACTGTTACCTACATAGGAAAACAATTTTGGAAAGATTGCCTCAGAAACTTCACATTTTATCCCTTAAACATCAAGTCAGCGTTCTATTGTTGCAGGGTGTTCTCCTGTGTGTACTGAGCGTTGGCAAGCAAACGAGGGTAGGAGGGAAACAGGCCATGGCTTAATTTATAAGTTGGGCCAAGGTTGCCAAGGGTAAAGAGGGCCCTTCGAGACCTCGGTTGCTATTCATTCAAGTCCAGAGCTAAAAATGGCTCCATGGGAATTTATTGGCAGGGCCGGTGGGAATTGAACAAAACAAACACAGGACAAAGTGAAGTTGGAGTGGGGGGAAAAGGCAGAACTAGTTGAAATCCGGAATGAAGGGGAAATAAGTGTTCCACCCAGATGTTTCATTTCAGGAAAGTGAAAATGCTCCCCAAATGTTGGTTGAATGCTAGTGATTGGATGGCTAATAAAAGCTGATGCAACTTGGCCAAGTTGTAAACAGGTGAGGTCTCTATTTGGCTGTTGGTAAAGTAAGCTTTTACATCAGCTTTATGGGGAAAGGAGAAAAAGCCGTAGAGGAAATGAACAAGAGACATAATTGCTACTCAGCCACAGACCATTTGCCCCTAACTCCAACACAACTGAACACTACAGAAAAGATACACACAGTTGTGACTGGAAGGAAGAAGCTTTTTCTAGTCAAACTTTCGTTTCTGAGAACATAACACTTAATACTGAGCTGCTAGGAAGATGGGTTCAAAGATTATAGATTCTGAAATCTGCTGCTCAGTATTTCTATCTCATTGTTTATCCCTTAGTGACTCCAAAATACTTTGTTCCCTGAACTTCAGTGAAGATTTGGGATAGCAGGAGTTCTGACCTTAGTAGAAAAAAATACCAAATTTGTTACAAGAGTCATAGTCAATTAATATTCAATTTCCTTGGGGTAAATTCAGCAGGTCAAAGACAAAATTCCTCCCTTTCCACAGAAGATAAATGGATGGGAAATAAACTCTACCAATATCACAGATGGTGGCATAAAGAATTGTTCCTCTGCTCCATGTCTGTTTCCACTTTAACAAGCTCCCTCCTTGTTTCTTCCAATGCCATTAATTGTTCCAGATTAGAAAGAGGACAAAGGTTTGTCCATATTTTCCATACTTGCTCCTTGTGACATTAGTCCGTGAGAACCACTAGCTCGCCATCACTCTTCTCCTCGCCCTCAGAATCCTCATCTTCACTGTAGTGGTACATCTCCCCATCAGGCATTGAATGACTGTCCTCTGTCCCATCCCCCTCCTCTGGCTTCAGACTACATGTGTTCACTATGACTGGCATGTTTGGTTCCATGCCATGGGACAAGTAGTGATCCATCAGTGGTGGAGCCAGCTGAATCCCAACTGATCGCTGGTACATGAGATCCGAAGAGGAAGGTGGCATCTGGCTGCTTTGGGGCCTAGGAAAGACATTATAATGTATCATAAAAGTTATGCCATCTTACATTCTGTTCCTCCCCCACCCCCACCTCCAAATCCACATTCATAACATTATTACCGCACTTCCCAACATGGAAACAGATAAGCAAGAATAGAGAAGCTGTGATCTTCTACTACTGAACTAAACATTCCTAATTATTGGTCATGTAACTGGTAAATGCAGTTCAGTAGTATCTTGTGGCCCACCAGTTCCTTATTCCTAAGAAACAACAATGCACTGATCACATGTTTGTACAATACTGGTCTCCCTGGAATGAGATCAGATAAACTGTCTTCCAGGAACCTTCTACAAGCAAACATTACTGGACCTTTCCTTCCTTCTTCATCTAAGCTTTCAGAGCTACCTGATTTCCCCTAAAAGCTAATTATGCTTATATGATCCAGCAAGATGTTTAATCATGCCTTTGATCCCTTCAGTCGGCAAGGCTACAAGACACACAAAAGACCATAAACTGGGTTATCTCTTTGTAAGGTCGGGGCAAATAAGCCAAGGAAGACAGGGTTACTATTAATGATGATTCGGGAACCTGAACCTTATTACACTATCACTGCCTTGCAAAAGATGATCTGTGCCGATCCTTAAAAGAGATGAATTTCAGACCTAAGAACCTGCTGGCTCAGATAGCTGTGCTCAGGAGGAACAGAGAAAAGGGACAGGAAGCCTCACGCAATCAGGTAGCCCTGCCTGGCGTCCTGGCGCCGATTCCTCATCAGTGCCTTGTACTCGCCAACACGAAGCCGCTTCCCTTCCACAATGCAGGTGCGTTTGGGGCGGGGCTTGTACTTGTAATTGGGATACTTCTCTAGATGCTGGCGACTCAGCCGTGCTTGCTCTTCATAATAGGGCTGCTTCTCCTGATTGGACATGGATTTCCATCGGGATCCTATAAAAACATAGAGCAATGAAAGGAGATGGTTTCATTTTACCATTTTTTAAATTTTCTTCTACTGTATGGTCCTTATCAGTCTTATGTTACGCCAGAATACTTCTTCCTAACAAATGGGCTTAGAAGAAAAAAGTTGACTACTGTAGATCAAGGTGAAAAACGCCGCCATGTCTACAATGATTTCCCTGAAATAGCCAATGCAAAACAAATATGTCATCTTTAAAAACAGAGTTTGAGATATAAAACAGGGACGGGCAATCTTTAGATAACCAGAAACCAAACAGCAGCAGCAACAACTTATTTTTCTTTGAATTGCAGTGAGCAGATGGAAAAGCAAACTGGCTAGGAACATTACCAGGGCTTTCTAAATTTTCAAAGGTTGGGGAATTATTTTCCCCCTTTGTTGCTGAAATACAATTTCAGCCTACTTTGAGATGTGTACATTTTTTCTTTCGGTTTTGCTAATTTTTGTAATCAGAAGGTTCTTGAGGGTTGATGTTATATGCAACAGCTCAGTCCCTTTGAAAGATAAATTATATGAAGAGTTAGTGTAAACTGTTTCTTTAACCAGATGCAGTTCTAAAGGTTATCACACAGCTCTGCATTTATCTTTTATTACCATTCAGGCAAAACGAATTATTTCTACAGACTGCTTTATGTCTAAGAACATAGGGGAAATTCTACACTAGCAAGGCTAGTACTGAAGACTATCTGGACGGATCATATCACACAGGAACTAGGAGCTCAAGAAAACATCTGGCTGTGTTGCCTATCTAGAAATGTAAACTGAGATATTAAGCAAGCCATACAATGTAGTTTTAATGGATGTTCTGGGTCTTGTGGATTACAAGATACATGTAGCCCTCAAATTACAACTACAATAGAGCCCAATATTTATGTTGCTAAGCAAGATGGTTTTTAGGTACATTTTGCCCCATTTTATGACCTTTCTTGCCACAGTTGTTGGGAGAATCATGGCAGTTGTTAAGTTAGTAACACAGTTGTTAAATGAATCTGGCTTCCCCATTTGTCAGAAGGTTACATATGACCCCTAGACACTGCAACCATCATAAATACATGCCAGTTGCCAAGCATCTCAATTTTGATCACATGACCATGACGATGCTACAATGGTGTTAAGTCACTTTTTTCAGTGCTGTTGCAACTTCAGATGGTCATTAAATGAATGATTTTAAGTCAAGGACTACCTCAATTTGACAAAAACTAGACTGGGCATTAACTCTATTTCAAAATGTAAACATATCAAAATGAAAACAAAATTCCAAATTTCCCCCCTCCTTTTTCTTCAGAAGGCAAACTAATTTTCTCACAAAGTGTAATTCATAGAAATGGAGGCAAGGATCAGAGATGCATCCAGATGAGTCCTGTTTATTTATGAATAAAATTGCTAGATTTGCTAACCACTTCACTATGAATGTCTAGGCGGTGTGCAAAATTAAAACCAAAAACAAAGCAAAAAATAATGCAGTAAAAAATAAACTGTAAAGAAGAAGGAAAAATAAGAGCACAAATTTTCCTCTAGCTCAGTGTGTCTCAAAGTTGGCAACTTTAAGATGAGTGGATTTCAACTCCCAGAATTCCTTGGCCAGGCATGGAGTTGAAGTCCACATATCTTAAAGTTGCCAGATGTTGAAAAACACTACTCCAGATACTTGATTACCAATGACCTTCTAGAAAAGCCAGATTCTAACTATACTCCATAAGGCTGTAAGAGAGTGGGGAATTCTTGCTTAGCTCCTGAAGCAGAGGTGGTATTCTACCAGTTATGACGAGTTCATCCTAATTGGTAGCAGAAATCGCAGGGTGCTCCGCCCTCCCACCCTGGCTCTACAGCATCCCATTCAGTCCCTTTTTAGTCAAAGCACATGCACGGACACGCATGCTCACATTTGCAAACCAGTAGGGAAAGTAAGTGAATACCACCCCTGCCCTGAAGCACAGGTATATT